GGTGGATCCCTCATGAATGGATTAAGGCTCTTGCTAGGTGGGGGTAGTAATGAGTGAGTTCTCACTCTATTACTTCCTGCGAGAGCTGGTTGCTTAAAAGATTCTGGCACCTCCTCTCTCTCTCTTGCTTCCTCTTGCCATGTGATCTGCTTGTACCCGCCGGATGCCTGCTGCTTTCCACGATGAGTAGAAGCTGGCACCTCCTCTCTCTCTCTTGCTTCCTCTTGCCATGTGATCTGCTTGTACCCGCCGGCTGCCTGCTGCTTTCCACGATGAGTAGAAGAAGCCTGAACCCCATGCCAGATGCAGCTGTCCCAGAATAATTGTAAGCCAAATAAACCTCTGTTCTTTATAAATTACCCAGTCTCAGGTATTTCTGTTATAGCAACACAAAACAGACTAAAACATAAGCATAATGAGGAAAGTTTTTAAGGTGCACTTTGTCTCAGGAGGTTGAGACTATTTTTCTCAGAAGTTAGGTTATGTTCAACATCATGTACTTTTACTTTCTGTCTACTGAAATTTTCTGTGATCACATAAATATCATATTATGTTTCTTCTTCCAGTTTATTGTTTTGATGTATGCTGTTTGTTCAGATAATTCTTATTTTCCTTCCCTGATAACAACTTTCTCTTCACCATCAGTTTTAATTTTCACAGAATCAATTTTTAACAAATTATCTGAAATTTTGACCTGCCGAATTTTTGACATAGTCTAAATCCTCAAGTTTTTACTTTTTTGTTTTTTTAAACAAATATGAGTGATTCCTTCCATTTTTAACTCCTTCAACTTACCATTTCTTTCTACAATCCTAAATTTTTTTGTTTGTTTAATTTCAGAATGAGAAATTCAACTTAAAACCAAAGGTTTAGCACTTCAGCAGTACTTTTTGATGGAAGAAACTTCCAGTGGGATACAAATGGTAAGAAACAAAGGATTTTTTTATTTTTCACATTCAGAGAAGATTAGGAATTTCATTATAGAAAATCAGCACAAAAGAGAGATACTCAAAAGAAATGGCATTCACCCAAGAGGGAGTGGAATCTCTGGAGAGACATTCTGAATGTGATGAATTTGGGTGACCCCAATTCTAGTGTGAAGAACTTCTTGCTTGAAACTTGGAGTATCCTTCTAAAAAATGGCATAATTGCATGGACCAGAAGGACACATTTCCTTGTAGGTAGACATGTCTACAGAGCTTCTTAAAGCAAATAAAAGACCCATGCCAGTACTGAGTTCCTAACTCCATTTCCCCAGAATGTTGTGCCTTTTATATTGGTAAGGGGTTACCCTGAAAATTATCTCAGTATTAGTAATTATGAATTCATCTTAGCTCTCCTGATGTTGACTGCTTATTTATTTCTCTGGGTGCTCTGACGGATGGTAAGGAAGATGAAAGTGTCCTTTTCTCAAAGAATTTATTCATACATCACCTTTTATCAAGTGCTTGTGATGGCTCAGGAGTGTGCTGCAATAGAGGGAACTAAGAGGAGAAGAGCTCCCAATCTAGTTGTGGTGTGATAAGTTCATGTGTAAAAGGTGCCTTTAAAGCCATAAGACTGGAGGTGAGCGGTAGTGAGTGTGGTTTCCTAAGACCATCGAACCCTGGAATAGACAATGGGAGCCCTCAGAACCCTGTGTAGGCATTGGTTTCACTTCCTCATTTTCCAGTGAACATTGGTGGGGATGTTACTTGGCTCAAACTTCTATGTGTGTGATGGTTTAGGACTTGGTGACCTTTGAGGATGTGGCTGTGAACTTCACCCAGGAGGACTGGACTTTCCTGGACCCAACTCAGAGAAACCTATACAGAGATGTGATTCTGGAGAACTACAAAAACCTGGCCACAGTAGGTGAGACTCCAGCATCAGAAATGTACATTATGAGACTCCACCTTTGACATAGTGAATCAGAAAGTCTGCTGTTGCATTGGGAGGGAGCGGGGAGAGGGAGGAGAGAGCGAGGTTTTAGTAATGGGCCACAATCAACCACATTGTATACTGACAATATAAAATAAAATTAAAAAAGAAAGTCTGCTGTTGGGGCTCTGTCATTTGTGTTTTAACAAACACTCCAGGTGTATCTGATTCACTCTAAAGCTGAGAACCACTGGCGTAGTAATTTCCCTGTAAAACTAAAGATCTCTTTTTGTATTTCCATCATTTCTTCCTTTAACTAAAGTCTTAGTGGTTTTTATATATGTATTGAGGGTACTTTAAAAAGTTCACAAAAAGATTCTCATTTTTAAATCTAATTTTCCATGAACTTTTGGAAATATCCTCATATTTCAGCCTGCATGAGGTTTCAGGGGTCGGAGATAACCAATCTTTTCAGAGCACAGAAAGAGGAGATATTTGCATTTTGTACTGTCTAGAAATAATTTTATTGCTTTCATTAGAAATATGGTTTCTAGGGCCGGCCCATGGCTCACTCGGTAGAGTGCGGTGCTGATAACACCAAGGCCATGGGTTCGGATCCCTATATAGGGATGGCCGGTTCGCTCACGGGCTGAGCGTGGTGCTGACAACACCAACTCACTGGCTGAGCGTGGTGCTGACAACACCAAGTCAAGGGTTGAGATCCCCTTACCGGTCATCTTTTTAAAAAAAAAAAAAAAAAGAAATGTGGTTTCTGTTTCATGGGAAGGTTTGTCATCTCCTGCATAAGCCTCTTTCATTGATGTGTCTTTCCCTGTGTGCAGGATACCAGCTGTTCGAACCCAGCCTGATCTCTTGGTTTAAGGAAAAAGAGTTGAGGACAGTGGACAGAGGAATTCTCCAAGGTAAGTGTTTGTGAAGCACATGCCTGGGCAGTGAGAAGTTCAGTAAGTTTGGAAGTTTAATGAAACATTTCAAGATGCACTTTGTCAAAGTAGGTAAGAGCACTGGACTCAGAAGTTTTGGGATACTTTCAACTTCCCATACTCCGTTAATTTGTGTTGGTCTATAATTTCCTATGATCTCACAAACAACCTGCCCTTTTCTTTTTTGAGTGTATGGTTTTCATGTATGCTTTTTGTCCAGATCTTTCCTACTTTCCTTCCCTGATAATACTGTTTCTGTTCACCATCACAGTTAATTTTTGTAGATTTGTTAATAAATTTTTAAATTTTGACCCCCATATTACTGCCAAATTTTACACATAGCCAAACTGCTCACATATATCTTTGCTTTATTTTTTTTAGCATGTTAAATATGGAAACAAATACAGATGAACCTTATTACTTTTAACTTATTTAACCTACCATTTGGTTGTGCAAACTTTATATGTTTTTCTCTTGTACTTCAGAATGGGAAATGCACCTTAAAACCAAAGGGTCAGCACTTCAGCAGTAATAGATCTGCAACATAACCAGCACCACTTTAGACAAGCCCAAGTACAAAATGGCGCCACCCGCCCCCCCCTCCATGGAGATGGGACTGGGACTAACTTCGGCCCCTCCTCTCAGGAAGTGTCCCCTGCTCCCGTAGGGCACTAATTGTACCTTTTAATTGGGGCAGGGATCCTTCCTGCAGCTGGAACTGGCATAGCGGGCCCTGCTACTGCCTCTCAATTCTATCAAAACTCTCAGGAGAACTAAGCATAGATAGCATCTCCTCCCTCCAGTGACAGGTCACCTCACTCAAGACAGTCACTTTACAGAACCATCGGGCCCTTTACTTCCTTACAGCTGAGAAGGAAGGCACCTGCCTCTTCTTGGGGGAGGAATGCTGTTATTATGTAAATGAGTCCAGGGTGATCCAAAACAACTTACACCATTTCACTGAACCCTTGGGTACCCTGGCTTATGCCTCTACTTGGACCCCTAACTGTGCCTCATCCTACTTTTTGGCCCCTGTCTCTTTTGGTGTTTCTCTAATTTCTTGCGGGAACGTATGCAGGCTTTCACCAACCAAAAGGTGGCAAATTGTTCCTGCAAGGAGGATATCAGCCCCTCAGAATCAGCGACCCTTCCCCAGAGGAATGTAGCCTCCCCACATGAAACCAATACCCTGCCACTTGATTGTTTTACCCGCCAATATAAATCTTTTATTTTTTTCATAACTTCACCCATCTCCAGCGGGAAGTAGCTTCAAAAGAATGAGACCTCCGCCCTTTTCCCCTTTTTCCTATACTTAAAAGGCAGGAATAATAGATCTGCAACATAACCAGTGCTACTTTAGACAAGCCCAAGTACAAAATGGTGCTGCCCAACCCCTCCCCAACCCCCCCCTTCCATTTTTGAGAAGTTTCCTGACTTAAACAGAAACCCCTTTTGATTCTGCAAGGATGCGGTTCTCCACCCCGATCCACATTATCATAATGACCCTCCTTGATGGTATCGTCCAGCCCTTGGCGCACTCTACAAGCTCTACCACCCCCACACTTGGTGCTATAACCTTTTCAGGGCAGCCCTGGGCTGCCTGGTGAGTCCAGGGTGATCCAAAACAACTTACACCATTTCACTGAACCCTTGGGTACCCTGGCTTATGCCTCTACTTGGACCCCTAACTGTGCCTCATCCTACTTTTTGGCCCCTGTCTCTTTTGGTGTTTCTCTAATTTCTTGCGGGAACGTATGCAGGCTTTCACCAACCAAAAGGTGGCAAATTGTTCCTGCAAGGAGGATATCAGCCCCTCAGAATCAGCGACCCTTCCCCAGAGGAATGTAGCCTCCCCACATGAAACCAATACCCTGCCACTTGATTGTTTTACCCGCCAATATAAATCTTTTATTTTTTTCATAACTTCACCCATCTCCAGCGGGAAGTAGCTTCAAAAGAATGAGACCTCCGCCCTTTTCCCCTTTTTCCTATACTTAAAAGGCAGGAATAATAGATCTGCAACATAACCAGTGCTACTTTAGACAAGCCCAAGTACAAAATGGTGCTGCCCAACCCCTCCCCAACCCCCCCTTCCATTTTTGAGAAGTTTCCTGACTTAAACAGAAACCCCTTTTGATTCTGCAAGGATGTGGTTCTCCACCCCGATCCACATTATCATAATGACCCTCCTTGATGATATCGTCCAGCCCTTGGCGCACTCTACAAGCTCTACCACCCCCACACTTGGTGCTATAACTTTTGAGTGTAAGATGTGTGGGAAAGCATTTATGAGTTCCTCCTCCCTTTACATTCACATGTGAACACACGTTGGAGAGAAGCCTATGAATGTGAAGGATGTCAGAAAGCCTTCACTACATCCACGTGACTTATCGAACATAGAAGAAGTCACACAAGAGAATCCCTTTGATTGTGACCAATGTAGGAAAGCCTGTTTCTTCCTTATATCTTATTGCACTTATGAGAACTCACAGGGGAGAGAAGCCCTTTGAGTGTGAGATGCGTGGGAAAGCATTTACACATTCTTCTTCCCTTCGTGTTCACGTGCACACTCACAGTGGAGAGAAACCCTATGTATATAAGGAATATGGGAAACTTTCACAAATTCTTCTTGTCTTACTGAACATATAAAAACACACTGGAGAGAAACTCTGTGAATGTAACGAATTAGGATGTCCTCATGCCCTGATAATCACATTCTAATTTATTGTGGCAAGAAACTTTATCAATGTAAGCAATGTATAAGAATTTTCAGTTGTTGACGTTAATCTCAAAGACATGAAAGAAATTACACTCTGAAGATGCCCCACGAATTTAAGGAATGTTGGAGACCCATTGTGATCTGCTCACATTGCAGGATGTAAGAACTCACCCTGGAGCCATACAGTTAAGAAACATGGCAAACCTTCACTATTTCCTCGGATCTTGCTAAATATTTGAGATCTGAGGATGGAGAGAAACCCAGGTGATGTAAGATATGTGGAAAAGTTGTAGTTCTGCTAAATACCTGTGATCTCACAGTGGAGAAAAACTATAAAGGTAAGAAATGCTGGAAAGTCATTTTTTACCTTATTCCTTGACTTTTAATAAACATGAGGTGATTCATACTTGAGAAACTGTGCATGTACAGTATATGGGAATTACCCCTCTGTGTTCTGAAATCTTGTCTGCTGACAGAGACATGGCTTTCTATGTAGTTCTGTAGTCCTAATCATTCCTGGCGTGATATGTCTTTCTTTTCCCTATAGCAATGCTGCTCCAATGTAGAAGCTACACCTTCTGGGTTGCAGCCAGACCAAACATGGGCCCTCAGGATTCATACTTAACCCTATTTTAGTAGTGCAGGTTCTTTTGTTGGTTTGACATGGTCTGGTCATGGTCATGGACATTGTCTTTTCACAGTGTCTCACACCAGCCAAGGTGGGAGGTATAATATGGCCCTAAGTATTGTAAAAATGCCGTGTCTCTCTCACACCTGATCCTTTCAGATTAAAGGTCAGGGTGCAAGAAGGGACATATTGGAGAAATAGTGCAATCATAGTTAAAGACTGAGATAAGCCTGATTTCGCGATGATGGTGGGAGAGCCGTAAACCCACACCAGGGGATGGAGGGAATTCCTGTAACCTCAGGTAGTGCAGGGAAGGGGTGAGAAGGCTGAATATTCTCTTTGTCCTCTGGATCCACCCTACAGCTTGACAAAGCAATCATGTTATATGCCAGAGTCAAGTAACAGCTGTGATTGGCAATGTGACCTCTTCTGGCTTTCTCATTCTGTCCATGTGTTTGCTGTTGTTGTTGTTGTTGTTTTTGTGGCTGCCTGGGATGGGGTTCCAAGCCCTTGACCTTGGTGTTTTAACACCATGCTCTAACCAAAGGAGCTAACCGGTCTGTTCTGTGTGTTTTGAAAACAGAAAAATTCAAGGGCCAGCCCATGGCTCACTTGGGAGAGCGTGGTGCTGACAACACCAAGTCAAGGGTTAAGATCCCCTTATTGGTATCTTAAAAACAACAACAAACAAACAAACAAACAAAAAAAAAACCAGAAAAATTATTGTGAACATGGTTAGGATGTTTTTCTGTGTTTGACGGCATCACCGGCACTTCCTGAATGTTGCCCTTGGGTACAGGCACAAAGACCAGCACAAGCAAGTCTCAGTCAGAGTGATAAAAATTTATAATCTTGTAACACTTAAGCATCATTGAGTTGTCATGTATGGCCATTGAAGCTGCTGCTGCTTGATGAATTTTTCTGTGGCACTTAATTAAATCAGTGTAATGGTATTCCAAATCAAGGTTAACAATAAATCCCATATGGAAGAGACCTGTGCACATTCATGTTATTTGTTTGTTCCTGGAGAGGAGTGCATGGTGGAGTCGTTCTCTTGTGGGTATGAGTGTTGCTATTTAGCTCATCTGCTGACACATTTGTTGGCAGTGACCCCAAAGATCATCAGATTAGTCTCTTCTGGCTTGTGTGGGTTGCAGTGGCTCATTGACTGGTCCTGGAAGCCATCCTGATTGTCTGAAATAAGTCCTATAGGTCTGTAGTGGATTGAATTATGGCCCCCCAAAACTCATTAAAGCTTGAATTGTGTCCTCCAAGCTTTATGCATTCGAAACTTAGCCCCACTGTGACTATTAAGAGGGTGGGAAATCCTGTTATGACAATTGAAAGGTGGGGCCTTGATGAGGTGAATGGATTGTAGGACTGTGCAGTAGTGAATGGATTAAAATGGCGGTAAGGGGTGTGGTTCTGAGGGCTTTAAAAGAAGAGGAGAGTCTGTCTCTCTCTCTCTGCTTCCACCATCTTGCAGTGTGAAACCTCTGGTTCAGTCCATTTAATGGTTTAAATGGACTTTGGACTTCCTAGCCTCAGAAACCGTAAGCAATAAATTTTGTTTTCTTTATAAATCACCCAGTTTCAGGTATTCTGTTATAGCAACACAAAACGGACTAATACAAGGTCCCTCCAGAACTTGTTCACAGGTACCTGAGTCTAAGCACTTGTGGGTCATGGGTGAGGTCAGTGCTACAGGTTGGAGTCAGTGCTTGGACTCCTAGTGACAGTGTCATTTAACAGGTGATACCCTAGCCCTCACAGTCTAGACATGGTCCTGCCCCAGAAGCTGAAATCTGATTATCATTTATAAAATGAAATTGATCTATGTATATTGCATTTTACCAGAAGCCTTGCTAAACATTCTTAAAAATTCTAGTTTTTATGTATTCTTTTGTGTTTTCCACACAAGCAAGCATATCATCTATAACTAATGACAGTTTGACTTTTCCATTTAAAACCTTACATCATTTAGGTTTTTTTCTTGCTTTCCTGGCTGAACAAGACCTCCTGTACAATAATGACTAGAAGTGTTGCTTTGCCTCCCACGGATTTGTCACCCCTTTTCCCCTGTGTGATAGAGCTGACAAAGATTACTCAAAGCCCTTCTCTTCTGAGCAGTGAGATGCCCCAGAAAGGGGTTAATAACCCAGAACCCTCAAGCATGAGGCATTCC